CAGAAGCAGTCGGAGAATTTTGAGATATGTTTCCTGTGACTATCTTTCCTTATTGAGGGCATGTTATAAATGTTGTCCCATTGTTCATTACCGATGTTTTAGAAAGCTAATGCATGCTAGAAGATTGTCACATTACATGCACTGTGGTGAGCATAGATTTGCATGGAATGCCTGATTGCATGAGGTGTAGCAGAAATGAAAATTGCCCATCTCTACAGCAGAATGAGGAAAAGATAAATGATCTTTACTTATTTTGTCTGGAACATGTTTTTTCATCTTTTTAAATCCTTGAAGGCTGTTTTCTCTTGCTTATGCAGCTGCAACTGCTTTAAAGGCAGTTGCCACTCTGGCTTGGTGTGGTGCTGGCCCCATCGTGCTATCGGATGTAAATGGCACAGCTAGTAAGACACAAGGGCAGAGGATGGAGTAAGCAAATTCTGTGTCATGTTGCTAAGTGAAATAATGATCATTGTTTGCCAGCCTTTGGTGCCTTTAATTTTACCGTCAAGCATTTGGCTTATTTGCAAAACTGTTGTCATCAATTTGTTAAAGTGCTCCTCGGAGCTCCCCTCTGCAGCTCTCCCTTAGCAGGAGGTGAGCTGTGATCTCTCTTCGGACCAGCAAAGAGATGGGGCATCCTGTCACCATCTGAACTCTTTGGGTGTTTATTTCTTGTCTCTAAATTGCTCTGTTGGACTATTGCTACCTCTCTGAAGCAGGAATTACTGTGCTTTAGATTTAGTGCAGTAACTGCTGAGCTGGATGTTGAAAATACTGCTACAAGGCTGGGCTGGGACAGAAAGTTTCTGCTTGGTCACCTTTGTGACTGCTCTCTCTCATTTAGAGATTGTCTACCTCACAAGTTACTTTGAGTTTAATGCAAGACCCATAGATAACCAAGTGCTTAGCTTCTTTGAAGAGCTGACATGTTAAATTTACATTTTTAATGTTAAATTTACTTGTTTTTCCCCCCAAACTTACCTCACTTTAAATAGTTGTTTGTTTTGTTTTGTTTAATAATATGGTGACAGCGAAAGTAAGATTCTTAGTAACAGCATTTATGTCTGTTTAGTTTAATCTAAAATATATTTGGTATGCAAAGCTTTTATGATGCACTATAGACTATTTGAAGTCTGTATTTTGGCACAGTTCTGAAGTAGAGCAGCAGTAGCACAAGTGATTGTTCACTGTGGATTTTCAAATCATATCTCATTTCCAGTGAAAAAGAACCAATTTGAAGCAATAGAAAGCATTTTTGACTAGTTAAATCTTTTTAGGAATTTAAAGTCAATATTGGAAAAAAGGTGATTTTCATTACAGATGCTATTTTATTTTTTATGGCTGCTAACTAAAAGCAAAACATTTTGGTTAAGGCTTAGCAACATTTTGCTGAATTCATACAGCAATTTTATTTTCTTTAGTGAGGTGGCTCCATTCATGTTACTCTTGCTCCTTGTAGTACAATGGAAAGCCCAAATATCAAGTAGTCAATAATTCATTATATTCTTGGAATTTGTATGGAAGAGTGCTTTGTATATGTGGCTTTGCAGTTTGGGGCCCTTGATGGTTTTTGGTGGAATAGTTGATGTCTTCTACCCACAACAATTTCTTTATTTGAAGAAAAAAAAAGTTTTTGAAGAAAAAATGTGGTTGTAAAGAAGGCACTGAAATGCCCAAGTAAATCATTCAAGCAAGTGCAGCTCAATGCAGTCTTGACATCCCAGCAGCTACAGCGTTTACATGGGGGGGGACGACAAATTCTGTGACTTGTACAAAGCATGTGGTTTTGGAGGGGGATGGAGAGCAATTAAGTGTAGATTTTTATGTCAACAAAGCTTCAAAATGACTTAAAAATATTTTTAATTTGATTTTTCTAACAGCAAGTGACTTTATTGTTCTAATTGTTATTTCAGACATTTGTTGTCCTTTAATTACTTGGCTTATGATAGGAAGCTTGAAATCATAGAAAGCATTTGATTTTCATCAGTGGCCCCACTACTATCAGGCAGTCTGTTTATATGCTGGGAGAAGACAGCAGCGCAGTTTTTCAGCTTTCATATGCTTTAAAGCGGAACTAATTTTTTTCATGAGACCATATTGTTATGGCTCACTGATATATTTTATAGCTTCTCTATAATTATAAGGTACGTGGCTCTTGCTTCTTGTTTTCAGTAGCTAACATTCCAGAACATAAAAAGGGTATATTTTTCATCTTCTCATGTTTTATCGTAGATGGATTTACAAGTGACTCTCGTGTATTTCAGTATTCACATTCATAGGTACCAGGACTGGAAACTTGACTTAATCTTATCTTCAAATTGTAGGCATTGAAAGATACGTTATTATTTTAAGTGACAAATGCATGACTTCTTCCACCAAGGCTCTCAAAATGATAACTGCAAATGCAATTATTAAATACTGAATAAAGGTTCAGCAATAATGAAGATAAAGAATAAGGACTGCCTAGAAGAAGACATGGATTGCATAAATGTAAAACAGTATTATGAACTTGCAGTTGATACTGAAAACTACTGTTTTATGTAGCGAGGAAGGGGGAGAATTTTTTAAAATTTAAAAACAAAAATAACCTCCCTAAAGCCAAAAGTTTTTAATTTTGAATTTCATTTTAATTTGCCACAAATCCTGTACTGCTGTTTGATTTATTCTTGGAGATCAAGTTAAGTGCCATTACTTTGGAACAAACAAACCTGTAAATAGTATCTGGAATTCATTTGATATGATATAAAATCCAGATTTAGCCTCATGCTTAAGGCCTATAGAAAACCTTGCCAAGCACACCACATTTTAATTGTGTCAAAGACTAAAATGTGATTACTTTTAATATTGGGACATTAATAATGGATTAATTGCATAGCAAAATTCATTTTAAACTTTCTGAACTTTTTCAGACTGTTTCTTCTGAGGTTGTGTAGTATTGTTACACTCTTCAGTCCTCTCTTCACTGCAACACAGATGTCCTGTTTCATTTTGGGATATTGTTATGGGTTTACTTATTTAGAATTACAACAAATTTAGGGATGCTCATTGTCTGTGCCAGGCTCTCACGGTCCCGTCCTGTGATTGCCAGGCAGTTGTTGAGTCTAGAAGAGATGACTTTCCCATCTCTTAAGAGTTTTGTTTTTTGTTTTTTTTTTTTTTTCCTGGAGTCTATTTGCTCTTGAAAGGATGCTATTTATATTTGAAAGCAGTTTTCAGGCAGAATGTGCTCCACTATATCAAGCTGTTCACAGTTCTGTTATCTTGAGTTGGCATCTCGTATTTCTCTGCTTTCAGCTTGTTTCCATTGACACTGCACAGAAGGGAGTAACAGGAATAAGCCAAATCCATTTCCAGGTATCAGTACCTAAAAAGTCTGTCCTAAACTTCAAAACCTGAATATATTGTGGCAATTTGCAAGACACCTTTGGCCTCTGATGAATTGCTTGCATACTTTCTGCCTGTTTGGGTGCTTCTTGCTTTTGTCTCAGATCTCTCCCTCTTGTACTGTTCTTCTTTTTGATACCTTGTCACAATTTTTCATTCCATCATTTGTTGTTTTTTTTGTTTGTTTGTTTGTTTGTTTTTTTCATTTATGCCCTTGGGTAGGCATAGTAATCAGTGAATCCCTTTGAATTTCATGTTGACTTTGTTTGTTCTTCCAGGGATCAAACTAGTTTCCCAAATTATTTTCTGGTCATGCATTTTGTATTAATATTTATTCTATCGCGTATGTATGTGTGTTGTATAAACCCTTCGCTATTACAAGCAGACTTCTTTTAAAAAATGTATTTTTCTGATTGCATATGAGCTAGCAGCAAATAAAAAGGTGAGTCTATTCATCCAGTTAGTATTTGAAGTTGGATGGTAGGAAAGGAACATACAGAGTTAAAAAATAAGAATGATTTAGAAGTGTTTATCTTTGTGTGCCCTAATGGCTGTATTGTTATCCAAGTGAACTGCATTTTCTTGTCCAAAGTAGATTTCCAGAGGCTAACTTCATATTTGGCTAACTTCATATTTGAAAGAGGACTTCTAGAAATTAATTGTAAGGTAAATAGGGTATTGAAAAGTATTCATCACAAAAGTGTGATGATCACAATTTTTTATTCACAAAAATTGTGCTGAATTGAGTCAGAAAACAGCTTAATAAAGGAGTCAAAAGAGCAGTGTAAATGATTTATTTATCATCTGTGTCGTACTCAGAAGAGCAGGGAAAACGCTATTTACCAAAGGCTTGATCTTGATCCTTTAAAAGCAGTTACTGGAATATTTTTATGAAATTCCCCAGGCACAGGAGTAAGTCTTGTTCTTAACTCACATGTGTTAACTCACTCCTTTTCTTAATTGACATGTGCTCAGGCTGGATCTGAGCACAGGCAGGCAGTGCTCACATCTCTGAGCTGGGCTTTGTGGCCAGGTGAGGAGGGTTGCTGCTTGCCTTTATGGAGTGGGCAGTAGATGGAAAGAGCTGGGCTGTGAGCTTTTCTTTGCATCTGCCCTTTCAAAAAGGTGCTTTAATCATCACCTGTGCCCACTGATAAGGGTACTGCCAGTGGGATCAGGCCCTTACAGCCTTTATTAAACAACCTTAAATGGCTTTTTTGTACAATACTTTGATCATCAATAACCATTTAAGCTGGACTGTTAAAACGTTCACTTGCAATTTTCATGCCTTGCAAGATGAAGCATTTGTGATTCATCTACATACTGATTATTTATTCTTTTTGTTATGTGCATCAACACGAGATAGAAAAAATTGCTGGGCCAGAATTAACCAAAGTTGAGCATTAATGAGATCAAACAGACAGTTAATGGGTTTGAGAAGTGAACTACTGTAAAATCCCTTATGTATAGGCTTTTAAGATGTTATTTAAAATGATTAAGTTTCTGCTGAGTTCTGTTCCAACTGAACTGCAAGGAATTTTATTATTGACATTAGGGAGACTAGTATTTAATTTGCTTTACTTCACCACAATCCACCATCTGCCTTCTTAGGGAAGAGACTCGTGGGGATTCTTGGAAGTGCACAGTTTCCATAAAAAATTGGCATGCATCTGAGAGGGCAAGAAGAACCCCATCAATTTTGCAAGAAGTCTTTGCCTGCCAGTGGACAAGTAGGAGAGGTGACCTGATATTTTATTTCCTTCCCCAAACCCATCACTATTCAAATAACCTTTTTTGGAACCTTGTCCCTGTCTCTGTCTTTGGAGCTGAGTAACTGGGGCTCTATTTCGAAGATACTGTGCTCATTGATCAATTGTGGTGTTGTGGTGTTTATTGGCAACTGCTGGGTCCAAGGGATGGAGAGATACTTGGAGATTTTTGCCCTGTGAGAGCATCTCTATCAATTGGCATGGTTTGTTAAAGAGAAATAGGGTGTAGGAAATCTGCTTTCAGGAAAGTGTTGTTGCTGGGGAGTGAGGGGCGTTGGTTTTTTGGTTTGCTTTGAAGCATTTATGGTCAGTTATAATTAGTCTGCTGGTTCACAGAAGTAAGTCCTCTGCTCTTTCTCATCCCTGAGGTTTCAGTGGTGTTGGGGACAGAGAGGATCTGAAATCTTCTTGTAATAGTAGACAGGAAGATGGAGGTTTGGAAGATTGAGCAAGTCCTAGGTGATAAGGTGAAAGATCTAATAAGAAATTTAGATGTAATAACCTTTCAGTAAATCTCTAAAATAGTCATCATAGGAAATATGCTAGAGTGAGTAGAAATCCTGGGAAGATTGATGTGGAGCAAGGCAATTCCTTGCTCCTTCCTTAAAGTATTGCTGAGTTTTCATCTAATGTTTCTGGCTTGTAGTGGGAAAATAAAATTTCAGCCATGTGGAACTATCAGTTAATTCTTACTCTGTTAGTAAGCCTGTGTTATTTCCTGTTACATGCTATAGCACACGGCTTATGGTAACTGTTAGAATAAGAAAAGAATGAGTGGTAGTTTAGCCTGAGTGGTGCTGCTGGCAGCCCAGATGAACCTACCTGTAGTTAAGCGAACTGAAAAAATACAGGGGCAGAAAAATCCTGGAGGTGGGAAAATGAAATGACTTGGAGTTTTTTTCAGAGGGAAAAGGAATAGCTTGAGTGACCCATAAAGCCCCCTATTTTGGATCTAGAATATATATAATATATATAAAAATGTTTTTATATCTAATCACTCTGTGTAAATTAAGATAATAGATTATTTTGTTTGTTTCTCTGTGCATGAGCCTGTGTTTATGTAGAGATTTCCAGCTGCAAATGGCCAATCCTTTTATAAGAACAGCTGCTGAACTGGGATATATTGGGGAATATATTTACTTTACTACTTGGTGTTCCTATTGAATTTTCTTTGAAATAAGCTTTACTTTTGTTTTTTACCCACCTACCTTTCTTGTCTTAGAGGTTTTGCTCTGTAATTTTTAATTGATCGTTTCCATATATCTCATTGTAGCAAGCAAGTTTTACACATTACATCTGTATTGCATTTTCTTAATTTAGTCATTATAATGCATGATTAAGTCAAGTAAAATTCTTTTTATCTGTTGTGATGAAAGGCTGGTCTCTTTGGGATAGGTTACTTGAAGTGTTATGCTTTGCTGTAGTGTTTGTAGGTCAACAGATCCTCTAAAAAGAAAACGAAGCCATTTGAGCCTGTAAAAGAAAGGTGACCTTATGGTCTGGAGTTCTAGAAATCATACAAAACTTAACATTACAAAGTACAAAATCATTCATTTGCAGATAAAAAACAAGAAGGGCTGCTACAAATGAAGAACTGGAGGAACGTCAGTAATAGGGCAGAGCATTTTATTTTGCCATTAGCATTAGCACAGGCTGCTTAATTTTATTTGACTGGCATTAGATGAAAAACTTTATTAGTTTTCTCAGATTGCTGTTTACTTGAAAGCAGCATGAAATATCAGTAGCCCTTATCATAGAATCTTTTTTCCTAAATTAATAATTCCATTTCTCATTGACAACATTTTTCTTTTTGCATTTAAAGAGTTTGGTAGGGATTAAAGAAAATGGCTCTGTGCTTATGCTACCTATTTGGAGATAGTATGTCCTATCTGCAGATCTCTTCATGGACTGTAGTTTGCAAATTCTACTTCTGTAAATGTCAAAATAATCTTGAGAAGTTATTGTACCATGCTCAAGTAATCAGACGGTGCTTGGTTTCACTTACATATTATACAGACATGACACATTTTGTATTCGTGACTTTGGGAGAATTCATTTCTTCTGTTTTATTCAGCTGATGGTCTGGTTAATGGCATCGCTATTTCATCAAGGAAGAGCATAAACGAGGCGGAATATCAGCTACGTTGTTGGTTTCAGAGAGTTGTGGACATCTGTACAAATTCAACAGGCAGCCAGTTACTAGTGACATCCCTCAGGGATCAGCATTGGGCCAGGACTGTAAGATGTTAATGATCTGTGCAGTAGGACAGACTGAGCCTCAGCAAGTTTTTAGGCTATGCCAGTTGATGGGGGAAAGCATGGTTGATGTGCTAGAAGGTTGTTTTGCTGCTCTGAGAAAGTTTGACAGGCCAGAGAAGTGGGAAAATGCAATGTCCCACACCCAGGTTGGAATAAGCCTGTGTAACTGGCTAGAAGGCAGCTTTGTAGAGAAGGATCTGGGGGTTCTTGGCAGGCAATAAGCTGAATATGAGTCAGAGGAGGGCAGCTTTGTACTGACCTTTACCAGCAGGATTATAGCCAGCAGGGCAAGAGAGAAGATTGCTTAGTACAAGGAGAGGCTGAGAGATCAGTTTCGCCTGGAGAAAAGCAGGGAAAGGAGAGATCTCAGTGTTTTCTACAACTTCTATGTGAGTGCCTATAAGGACAAGAGAACCAGACTCTTCTTGAGGGTGCCCAGTAATAGGACAAGATGCCATGGATACAAATTGCAACAGAGAAAATTCCAATCAAGTTGTCCCTTAGAGATATGAGTTCTTTATGTTCACTTCTCAGAGGGCTGTCTGCCTTCCACGGGATTCAATACAACATAAGTGATTCTCTCTCCTGGCAAATTCTAGTATTTTTGCCGAGGGTTAATTCTTGGTCTTCCAGTAAAATTTCTTTAATTTTGTTTTCTGCAGATCCCAATCATGATATGATTTCTTATCAGGGATTGAGTTAACTCTTCAAAATTGCTCTTCCCAGACTTTCCTGTACTTTCACCTTCTATTTGTCCTCTCTGATTCACAACATTTCTTATGTTTCATTTTTCATGGAGCTTATCACAGCTTAGGTTCTGTGGTTACTGTCTTCTTGGATAAATTGAAAGTAATAACAACAAAATATCCTCAGAAGCAACTTTGAGAGAAATACAGCTATCTTAACTGTCTGCTGTTTTGCTGGAACATGTTTACAGTTTCAGAAAAAGAGTTGTTAAAAGGTTTTCTTAAGTCTGTTACACATTTCAACATTCATCTGGTACTTAATTGGTCTGTTTATTCTTGGCATCTTTCCACTTGGTTTTACTCATTGAACTTCACGTAATACAGCAGTCATACAGAAGAAGGGAATGGCAGAGGTCTGATTTAGTCAGCTTTCTGACTAGGTATGTGAATTAAACACCAGCTGACTATAGAGCCTCCTAAAGATACATTTTCCCTGCAGACATCATTAGAATTAACTTCAAACCAGAAGATGTGTGATCTGGAGGCAGAAAATAAATATAGGTGATCCAAAAATACCTTTTTTCTCTAACTGAGAATGGGAAAAGTCTTTCAGATTTGTGAGATTTTAATGGATCTTAAATATGTCTTTTGGTTTCTCATGGGGATATACATACCAGTTCGGTTAACAGTTTGATTTAGTCACTCCTAGGCAATAGTCCAAGTGTAATTTCACTAGACTTTTCCTGTTACACTGTTTAATGGAAGCAACTCCTTAGGGAAACTGCAATAAAAGAAGAGAGAATTGCTTAGGGATAGGTGTAATACTGCAGGTAAGTTATACCCAGAATTGCAAATGAAATAGTAACGCCAGTTTGAAAGGCATTTGTAAATTTTAATCTGGATTGCTAAGTAAAAGTCTGACCATGAATGTTCAAGATTGAACTCATGCTGAGTAGGTGCAAGTAAAAACAAGGAGGAGGTTCAAGGATTGAAGAGCATATTTAATAAAAAGGAACTAAAAGCACTTGGCTGTGAAGGGTGAAAGATAAGAAGGAAAATGATTGTCCTCCATAAAAATATTTTAGGAGAGAGGAATTCTGGGGTAGCAGATGGGTTACTCAAGAGGTAGGATAGAGTAGGTAAAAGGATGTAATTTGAGGCAGGTCTCTGCCTCTGAGAGCAGCAAGATAAGATAAAATATTCCAGTAGGAAAAGTGGAGGTACGAACACTTTGAAGTTCTAATATCTTTTCCTCATCTGGAAAATTTAAGAATAAGAGCATATGAAAAATTCCCTGAAGTAGCAAAGATGGGGACTTGATCACCCAGGAAACCTTTTCCATTTCAGTTAGGAGCTATTACTCAAGTCCCTACACATGGGCGTGGCTTACTGTGTTGCCATTTAACCTGCTTGGAGGTCTGGTAACCATCTGTTTTTTCCTGTTTGCTGCAGCTAACGTTAATCTGTGGCAAAGTTTCAAAGAACTATCACTAGAAATAATAATTAGAAATCTTAGTTGACGGTGCTGTGCTTGTTGATACAGTATTGGGAAGCTGCCAAGATATCAATATATGCCCTTAAAAAAAAAAAGTAAGCCAAATTAGACCTGCTTCATGGCTCTGATACAAAGAGTGATGACAATTTAAGCGTTAGTACTTAAAAGTCTGTCCCTGAATATTACGTACTGTCAGTGGAAACTTTCACAGGCCCTTGCTACCTCTTCCTTCTGCAATACTTCCTAGAAATTTACTACAGATGGATCCCCCTGCGTTTGTCATGAATGCTAGAGTAACAAGGAATCCCACTAATGAAGAGATTTCACTGTACATAGACAAATCAGGTATGGTGGAGGAGCAAAACAGAAAACGCAGAAGTGTGTTGCAGATTTCATAGCAATGCTGATTTCTGCCAGGGAGGTCATTCTGTAGAGATTTAATGAGCAGGGAACTAAAAGGAGCAAAACAAAGGGTGAAGGGGTCCCTTAGCATGTAATACACAGAAGGGGGAGACAAGGGGAGGAGGAGC